AATAAAGGATAATGTTTATTAACAAAATTTATCAACCTTACTAAAAGTTTTCATCTCATATTTTGTTATAAAATATGATACACATTTTAAAATTATTTATCAGCCCTGGCCAGTTTGGCTCAGCGGTTAGAGCGTCGGCCTGCGGTCTGGAGAGACCCGGGTTCGGTTCCCGCTAAGGGCACGTACTTCGGTTGCGGTTTGTCCCCGGCCCTGGTTGGTCGTGCGGGTGGCAGCCACTCGATGTGTCCCTTCACGTCGATGTTTCTCACTCTTTCTCTCTTCCTCTCTCTCCCTCCCACTCTATCTGTACAAAAAATGGAAAAATATCCTCGGGTGAGGATTAAAAACAAAAAACCAAAAAAAAATAAATAAAATTATTTATCACATTTATATAAAAGAATCGATTCTACTTTTTCAGAACATACAGAAGTTCATCCAAATTATCTGATAGAATATAAATATAAAAATATTTTGTATAATGAACTAGAAAATGTACTGGGGGGTTGCAATAGAGGTCTATTCCCTAGACCAATCAAAAAGATGAAATATCTATCAATAAGATTACAGAAAACATACAAGCTCTATATAAAGAACCTGGTAGTAAGTTACTGCACTGTATCAAAGAACACTTGAATAAATGAAGAATTTCAGGAATGGAAGACTCAGTATTATAAAGATATCAGTTCCTCACAAATTAATCTACACATTTAATGCAATTCTAAATAAATTAGATGGGTAGGTGAGTGGATGGGTAGGTGAGTTAGGATAACATGGAAAACTGATTATATGTTAATCAAGAAGAATAAATACATTAAAATGAACAGAAACATGTCACATTTACCATATAAATTCAATTCCTCTCTATCCAAAGTCCCACCTAAAAATGGCATTGAATGTGCTACTGAAAAACATAAACAAATTCACAAGGAAAAGGAACACAACAGAGAATACCAGCTGTCAAATTATATCAACAAATTTTTAGAAGATGGAAGACAGAGATATGGTAACAGAAAAGGAGAGGATGCTGTAAGATGCCTACTAATAAGAAACATGTTGATTCACCTCAGTGAACCCCTGAGAGGTTCAAAACAGGGACAAATCAGGTGCCCTAGTTGTGGGGATAAGAGGCAGAGATAAAAGCAGATAAATTGGTCTAAAGTCTGTAAACAAAATGACTGAAACAACAGGTCTTCTTCTCTATCCAGCACAGCCAAACCACTACCCTCTCTGAAGGAAATGAAATCAGAAAGGCTCTATCTATGCTCAGACACAACAGGTACAGCAGAGAGGAGAGAAGTACACTGTAAATGCCTGCATCCTGAGTAGTAAGAAGTCAGGACCCTTCCTTCATTCTAGAAATTTCGTGAATCAGATAGATACATGTCTGAAGCAAAAGACTAGAGGATCCTAAAAAATTAAGTAAAATAAAAAATAAACTGAATGGCCCTGGAACAATCCCTTACTAATATCTAACACGAATGTCATCCTAACAGCTGAATCACCCTGCAGTGAAGCCAACTACTCAGCTTTTTTAGCACCTGAGTCTAAAATATAAATGGATAGTCTGAGTCACCAAACATTTGAGGAGAGTCCCTAATATATAATACTGGGACACATAAACAAAACGGGGGTGGGGGTGCATGAAAGGGGAAGGAACCCCAGCCCAGATACAAGAAAATGAACAAAAGAAAGCATCCAAACATTTTGTAATGCCCCTTGGTGGGAAAAGGGAACACATCACATATATGATATATGATAGTAGAACAGAATGTTATTTTTTAAAGTAACAATCACAACAGAAAATAACTCTAGAAAAGTTGAAACTCAAACACATATTAAAAATTCAAGATTGGATTGATAACTTCTGGACGGTATAGCAAAGAGAAGATTAAAGAGACAGACTATAGGGCAGATAATATTAACAACAAAAAAAGAATGATACAGGAGGTATAATATCTGACTAACAAGAATTTCTAAGAAGAGAATAAAGTAAAATAGAGGAATAAAATAATAAAAATAAATTTTTCCAAAATAAAAGAATTTCGAGATTAAAAGAATCTACTGACTGCCCAGGAGAATGAATAAAGAAAAACTACACCAGTATCATTAAATTCTACTATCATAATCATGAAATGATGGTACACTTAGAATAGAGTCTAGAAGCTTCCAGAGAGAAAAACAAATCACTTAAAAGTAAATTAAACAATTAACTCAGATCATTAAAAAATAATGACAATCGAATCAGGCATGAATCATCAAAGAATCCTAAAACCAATCTAAAAGTAATTTTAGAACAATTGTTTAGTCAAGAATTTTCCAGGAAAAATAGTAGCTTATCATGGAGAAATTTGGCAGATACCATTTTAACCAAGTGATCAAGGTTAATATCATAAACAATGAAGCAAAGTGACATCATGTACCTTCTGATGGGATGTATTGAAAAGAACACATTAGGCCCTGGCTGGGTAGCTCAGTTGGTTAGAGCATCGTCCCGATACTCCAAGGTTGTGGGTTCAATCCCCGATTAGAGTATATACAAGAATCAACCAATCGATGCATAAATAGTGGAACAACAAATTATATCTCTCACTCTCTTCCTTCATCTCTCTCTAAAAATCGATAAATGGAAAGAATACATTAACATTTACATAGTATTTCTGCCAAAAATATATAACCTGATTTTAACTAAGCATGAGATCAGACAACCCAAAATTGAGGGAAATTCTACAAAATAACTGGCCTATTGTTTTCAAAAACGTCACTAAAGACAAAGTCTGAGGAACTCTTTGATATTAAAGAGACATAACAACTTGGAAACTAAATGCAATTCATGACTCTAAACAGGATCCTTTTTAAAATGTTACAAAGGACAGTATTAGGATAATTGGTGAAATTTTAATATAGATGAAAGTACTATAACAATGTTAAATTTTCAGATTTTCATAATTGTACTGTTGTAATTTAAGTGAATGAATGCCTTTGTTCTTATAAAATATACATTTTAATATTAAAAGAAAAGGTATATATTCTGTGAAATTAACTCACAAATGTCTCCAAAATAATGGGGATTAGAACATCATCTAATTTCATTATAGCAACATTAGAGTGCTAGAAGCCAGTGGAGCAATGCCTTTAAAATTCACAGGGAGAATGGTTTAACCCCATGCCCAGAAATCTAGGCACAGTTTTCTACTGCTGCATAGCAAATTACCATAATCTCAGTTACACATTTATTATCTCACAGTTTCTGTTGGTCAGAAGCCTGGGCACAGAGCTGGGTTCCTTGCTGGGGGTCTTATGAGGCTGTAGTCAAGGTATCAGCTGCATCTGTGCTTTCATCTGGAACTCAAAATCCTCTTCCAGTCTCATTTCAGTTATTGGTAGAAGTCAGTTCCTTGAAGTCGAATGACAGGAGTCCTTCCTTGTTTTCTTGCTACCTGTCAACTTGGGACTGCTCTGATTCTGATTTCCTAATGGCTTGCCCTCAGACCCTTGCCATATGGCCCCCTCCTCTCTCAATATTAACAGTCTTCTTCATCTGCAAGGCCAGCAGGGGAACATCTCTCAGATGCTTTACCTTCTCTTGAAGGACTCACCTGGTTAAGCAAGACTCAACCAGGATAATCTAACTCAAAGTCAACTGATTAGTAATTTATTCATGGGAATAATATTCCATCATATATACTAGTACCATCCACACTCAATAGAAGAGGATTATGCAAGTTGTGTACATCATGGAGAGGAAATCTTTAGGGCCATCTTAGAATTTGGCCTACCATATACAGTCCAACCTTCATTTCCAGTTCTCAACCTTGTATCACATTAGAATCTCCTAGAGAACTACTAAATCCTAGCATCAGAATTCTCATTTAGTGGGTCTGAAGCATGACCTGAGAAGGTGTTTTGATTTTGTTTTTGCTTTTTTTTTAAATCCTCATCCAAAGATATGTTTACTAATTTTAGAGAGAGGAAGGGAGAGAGAAACATTGATGTGAGAGAGAAACATTGATCAGTTGCCTCCCATACGCACACGACCAGGGATTGAATCTGCAACCTAGGTATGTGTCCTGACCTGGAATCGAACCTACAACCTTTTGGTGTACTAAACAATGCTCCAACTAACTGAGCCACCCGGCCAGGGCTTGTTTTTGTTTTAAGGCTCTCCCATGTAATTCCAATATGCAACCAGAAAAAAACACTGAAATAGAACAAATCTTTTTAGATATTTAAGATCTCAGAGAATTTACTTCCCCTTCACCCTTTCTAAGGAAGCTACTAGAGAAGTAGTCCTCTGAAATGAGGAAGTAATCAAGAAAGAGGAAAGCACAGGATCTAGGAAGCAAGGTCTCTGAAATAGGAAATCACAAAGGGAAGTCCCAGATTATAGGCAGTAAGAGCCTAGGATATAATAAGTGCAGACCGGAGCAGGAGGATGAAGGGCTCTGAGATATGGTTACAGAGAATAAAAAAAAAAATAAGTAGAATTAATGGATTATCTGATATATCTTATCAGATATATTTGGGGACGAGAACAAGTATTATGCATATGACAGAACTGATATGCAATTGGAAAAAGAATAGTTACATATAAAAATTATATATGTGATAAATGATGCAAGTATTTTCTTCAAGAAAAAGTAAAGTTTCTCAAGATAGAAAAGCATGCAACTACTTGGCTATGCAGTTAACAATATTAACACAGCCCTGGCCAGTTTGGCTCAGTAGTTAAAGCATCATCCCATGGACCAAAGAGTCTCAGGTTTGATTCAGGTCAAGGGCACTGTACCTCAGTTGCAGGTTCCATCCCTGGCCCAGGTCATGTGGGAGGCAACCAATTGATGTGTCTCTCTCACATCGATCTTTGATGTTTCTCTCTCTCTCTCTCTCTCTCTCTCCCCCCCCTCCCTCCCTCCCTCTCTTCCTCCCTCCCACTCTAGCTGAAGATAAATGGGAAAATATCCTGGAGGATCAAAAAAAAAAAAAAAAAAGTAAAAAAGAAAGTGTTTGCTATGGCAGCACATACACTAAAATTGAAATGATACAGAGATTAGCATGGCCCCTATACAAGGATGACATGCGAATTCATGGAGCATTCCATATTATCTTTTAAAATGCTTCAAAAAAAATTAAGACTCAAAGGAAACTTACTAGTACCAATGCAATAGTTTTTTAAAAAATCGATAATGAAATGTCAGTGTTTACTAAGATTAGAAAAGGCTAAAATATCTAACATTATTAGTTAGGAAAAACAAGGGGAAATTCATAATTCATAATTGGTAGGATGGTAAATTGGCATTGTAATTGTGAAAAACAATTAGCAGTCTAGCAAAATTGAAAATGTGTACATATTACTACTTAGAAATTCATATTCATTCATGAGACTTAGAAGGATATCCAATGCGCCCTGGCTGGTTTTGCTCAGTGGTTAGAGCATCAGCCGTTGGACCAATGAGTTGTGGATTCAATTCCAGTCAAGGGCATGTACCTTGGTTGCGGTTCATCCCCTGCCCCGGGTGGGGTCATGTGGGAGGCAACCAGTCAATGTGTCTCTCTCACATCAATGTTTCTCTCTCTCTCTCCCCCTCCCACTCTATCTAAACAAAAATAGAAAAATATCCTCAGTTGAGGATTTTAAAAAATTTTTTTAAAAGGATATCCAATGCAGTATTGCTTATAATATGGAAAAACTTTAAATAACCTAATTGCCTATTGACTGGCACATCACTAAATTCATTTGTTTATTAAACAAATATTTATTGAATGGCTGCTGTGTGCCAAGCACTGCTCTAAAAACCAAAAACATAGACATTAATAATAGAGACAAAAATCCTTGCCTTCATGTAGCTTACATTCTTATAGAAGGAGACATAATAAGTAAAGAAGTACTTAATATGTTAGATGGTAATATGAGCTATGAAGAAAGACAAGGGTGAAAAGGGAAAACAGGAGCCCTATGAGAGCGTGTATAATTTTTGAAAGGATGGTCAGGAAAATCCACACTGACATTTGAATAAAGACTTGAAGGAAGTGGGCAGGCAAGCCAAGTGGCGGTAGGAGTTAGAGATGGGAAGAAGAGTGTGCTAGGCCTTTAAAATAAATGAACAAGCCCGGGCTGGTTTGGCTCAGCGGTTAGAGCATTGGCCTGCGGTCTGGAGAGACCTGGGTTCAGTTCCCGCTAAGGGCATGTACCTCGGTTGCAGTTTGTCCCCGGCCCTGGTTGGGTCGTGTGGGTGGCGACCACTCGATGTGTCCCTTTCACATCGATGTTTCTCTCTCTCTCTCTCTCTCTCTCTCTCTCTCTCTCTCTCTCTCCCTCCCTCTCTCCCTCCCACTCTATTTGAACAAAATATCGAAAAATGTCCTCGGGTGAGGATAAAAAAATAAAATAATAAAATAAAAGAACAAGATCAACATAAACAGGTTTCAAAAAGATAATGTTGAGTAAAAATGGCTGTAAAGGAAAATGTACCACATGACACTATTTTAAAAAGTAATTACAGATGTAGATAGGTAAAAGCATGAAAAATGCAGGTAAAACTAAGAAGAAGAAGAAGAAAAAAATTAGCACTGGTTGGCATGGCTCAGTTAATTGGAGCATCGTCCTGTACACCAAAAGGTGGCAGGCTAGATTCCCTGTCTGGCACATGCCCAGGTTTTGGCTTTGAGCTCTGTTGGGGCACTATTGGGGGACAGCTGATCAATGTTTCTTTCTCACATTGATGTCTCTCTCTCTCTCTCTCTCTCTCTCTCTCTTTCTCCTTCCGCTAATTTAAAAAAATTTTAAGGCCCTGGCCAGTTTGGCTCAGCGGTTAGAGCATCGGCCTGTGGTCCGGAGAGACCCGGGTTCGGTTCCCGCTAAGGGCACGTACTTCGGTTGCAGTTTGTCCCCAGCCCTGGTTGGTCGTGCGGGTGGCAGCCACTCGATGTGTCCCTTCACGTCGATGTTTCTCTCTCTCTCTCCCTTCCTCTCTCTCCCTCCCACTCTATCTGTACAAAAAATGGAAAAATATCCTCGGGTGAGGATAAAAAAAATAAAAAAATTTTAAGTACCAAATTAAAAATAGTGGTTGGTTCTGGGGAAGAGGAAATTGGAATGGGGCTTGGGTAGAGGGTCAAATGATACTTTAATTTTATTGCAATGTTTTGTTTTGTTTTATATAAAACAATAGATTTCACTCAAATGTAACAGACTGTTAAATATAAAACGGGAGCATTTGAGATCTTACTCTGAGACATATAGTGTCAGTTTAGCTCAAATAAACTCATAAAAATTCTCTACAGGTTTGGATCTTCATGTTGAAGAAGCCCACCCTGAGCACCCTGTGAACTGGGACCAGGGGCTAGGCTCCCAACTTCATATCAGGTGAACTGGGGTGAGTTTCTCTTGGAATTTGGGGACTCCTTGCTTTACATAGCAGGCCATGACTTTATTTGAGCTGTTCTTAGGAAATCCTTGAGGTGGATAAGGAAGAAAAAAATGGGTTGCTGCTGCTAATTTTGGCTTTTTAATTAGTTTGCTTACTGCAAGTCTGAACAATACCTTTGCTGGTTAAATGAGAAACTGAACTTTTTTAGCTCGGAAAGAGAAAAGAAACACCTTCTGAGCCCAAACAGCCAATGGGGTGACAGTAGTTGTTCAGATCCCCGAATCGAGAGCGGCAGAGATGGGCACCGGGAGTCATCCAATGCAGTGGCACAGCTGATCCCAGAGAAGCCGGTGGTAGGAGCCTCAGGGAGAAAGGTAGAGAAAGAACCCTAGACTATGTTCACCTTCAGAGAGGGGCCTGAGAGAGGGTCCCGTGCCTTAGAAAGCATCCAGGTTCAGGCAGCATCCAGTAATTTCTCACTGGCCCTTGCTCAAGTATTGATAAATGATAAAAGTCTTTGTGGGTGACCTGAGAAAAATTTCCTCTAGGGCAGTGGTTCTCAACCTTCCTAATGCCACAACACTTTAATACAGTTCCTCATGTTGTGGTGACCCCCAACCATAAAATTATTTGCCTTGCTACTTCATAACTGTAATTTTGCTACTGTTATGATTCGCCATCGGAAATGTGTTTTCTGATAGCCTTAGGTGACCCCTGTGAAAGGGTCATTTGACCCCCAAAGGGTTACAACCCACAAGTTGAGAACCACTGCTCTAGGGCGTCAGGCAGTCCTATAAGAATATTCAGTGCCTTGGCTCATCTGGAGATAAGGACCTAAGGGTTGGTTTTCCTGGAAGTTTGTCCAGTCTCTACATATCTCATACATGATATTGTGCCTCTGAGGTCAATAAGCTTCATGACAGTCAGCTTTCTATTAGTACCAAGATGGCCAAACTGAGGATCCTTTATTAATAATCTTTTGCATGCACAATTAGAAAAAGCTGTCAAAAAACAACTCACATCTGCCAGAATGGCTGCCATCAACAAGTCACCAAATAACAAGTGCTCCAGAAAAAAAACAAGTGTTGGCGAAGGTGTGGAGAAAAGGGGACTCTAGTGCACTGTTGGTGGGAATGCAGACTGGTGCAGCCACTACAGAAAACAATATGGTGTTTCCCTAAAAAGTAAAAAATGGAACTGCCATTTGACCCCGTGATACCACTTCTAGGAATATATCCTAAGAAGCCTGAAACACCAATCAGAAAGAATATATGTACACTATGTACCCCTATGTTCATAGCAGCACTATTTACAATAGCTAAGATCTGGAAACAACCCAAGTGTCTATCAGTAGATGAGTAGATAAAAAAGCTGTAGTAAATTTACACAGTGGAACACTATGCAGCTATAAAAGAGAAAGCTCTTGCCTTTTTGTCCGACATCTTGTGGAGGCCGCAGATGGTCACCGCTGCTCCTGGGGTTTTGCTATGCTGCCCAAGGATGACAAGAAGAAAGATGCTGGGAAGTCGGCCAAGAAAGACAAGGACCCAGTGAACAAATCTGGGGGCAAAGCCAAAAAGAAGTGGTCCAAAGGCAAAGTCCGGGACAAGCTCAACAACCTAGTCTTGTTTGACAAAGTGACATATGACAAGCTCTGTAAGGAAGTTCCCAACTATAAGTCATAACCTTAGCTGTCCTCTCTGAGAGACTGAAGATCCACAGCTCCCTGGCCAGGGCCGCCCTTCAGGAGCTCCTCAGCAAAGGGCTTATTAGTCTCCAAGCACAGAGCTCAAGTAATTTACACCAGGAACACAAAAGGTGGGGATGCCTCAGCTGCTGGAGAAGATGCGTGAGCAGGTCACCAGGTGTACATTTTGGAAAGTAAAACTTTATTAAATCAAAAAAAGAGAGAGAGAGAGAGAGAGAGAGAAAGAGAAAGCTCTCTCACCTTTTGAGATGGCATGGAGGGACCTGGAAAGTATTATGCTAAGCAGAATAAGCCAATCGTGGAAGTAGGAAACAGACTGACAAACCTCAGAGGGAAGGGGGGGTGGAGGTGGGGGGGTGGGAAGAGATAAACCAAAGAATGTATATGCATATATGCGTAACCAATGGTCACTGACAACAATGGGGGGGGGGGGACAGGAAAGGAGAGGAGGTGTCAATGGAGGGAAAAAAGGAAGGACATATGTAATACTTACAATAATAAAGATAAATTTTAAAGAGAAAAAGAGCTCTCTGTAAAATTAGGCAGAAAGAATGGAAAGCATTTTTTAAAGATTTTTTAAAATTGATTTTTAGAGAGAGAGGAAGAGGGAGAGAGTAACGTTGATCAGCTGCCTCTGTCTTTTGCACCCCTCCTCCCAAATGGGGATTGAGCCCACACCCAGGCACATGTCCTGACCAGAAATCAAATTAGCAACCTTTTGGTGCATAGGACAATGCTCTACCAAGTAAGCCACACCAACCAGGGCTGGAAAGTATATTTAATTGGTCTCTCAAAGCTTCAAAAAGAGCTTTGAGATCCATTTAGATAAATGGATCCTGATGTCCTTTAGGTATCAACCTAATTCTTTCAGGCAGGGATGGGGAAAGTTCTGGCACACAGGTCATATAAGACCCTTGAAGTCATTTGGTGTGGCCCTGCCAAGGCAACTGCAAGTGAGACTTGAAATTCAATAAATCTAGGAGCTCTTTTCATAGGAACATAAATTTATATTAAGTGAATCATAATAAT